TTGTCATTATAAACCTGCCTTGTTAATATTAATTCCCAATTGAACAGAAAAAATGATATACTCATTCAAATTCTCAATTTTATAAGTGTTTCTAAATTATTTAAATAAAAATAAAATTTACAACAAAAATATGGAAAAATATATGTTGCCTCCAGATATATTACCTCTTCTTTCTTTTTCTTGAGGAAAGATGGGGCTAAATATTTTGAGACCAATATATATATATATATATATATTTGATAGAAAGCAAGGGACAAAGCCCATTAAAAAATAATTTTTTATTTAAAGAATAATAACTTTTACGAAAATGATCAAATATATATATATATATATATATATTGAATATTCATGTGTATGAATTTAATGATTTTTTGCCAACTAGGAGATGCATTTTGGAGATTGCTTGCATTTTAAGTTATTTTGAGTTAAGTTGTGTATTTTGGGCTCTAGATTGTATGTATAATTAATCTTGATATCTAAATAAGGCTAAAATATTAGTGTAATTATGATATTAATTAATGTAAAAAAGTATTGTGATATTTCATAGTGGTTTGGCTCTACCTTATTTTTGTGATTAAAGAGTTCAACATTAATATAGAGATTTATGTGTTGTTGAATTTTCATGATGTGTTGCATATGTTATTTTTAGTCTATTGAGTGTAATTTAGGGGCATTTATGAGCCTTTAGCTCTTGGTAAAGAATTTGGACACCCAAATGGGGTTTGAAAAGTTAAAAAAAAAGATATTGTAAAAAGATGTCCAACTTTTAAACGAAAAACGATATGATAGTGAAACTAATGTCATTAACTAGTGCTATAATAGAGATTTTTGTAAACATCTAAATTACTTTAATTAGACATCAGATGGATAAATTAAGCACATTGAAAGTTTACCTTGGGATGCTCCCATTTAGTATCTATGCATTACGCTGTAGTGCATGGTACAGAAAAGGTTGTATGATGCACAAGAGATGCCACGGCGCCTCTCTACTTTACTGCATTGATATATTATTTTTCAACTTAAATATCAATGTTTTGATATAAATTGATATTCCATGCTTTTGTAAACATGTTTTATTCTAATTTTTTATTTGTGAAAATATATTGAAATATTTTGAAAACTTGAAAACCTAGTATTCCATTTATGTGATTTATAAACTAGGTAATTTATTTGAGTTAATCTTATGATTACCTCAATTTGTGAAGTGAAGACCAAATTAATAACGATAACGTTACAAGAAACGTTTTTGATAACAAGGAACCGTAAATACGGATCCAAAATTCGAATCCGAGCATCAAACGGCTAATTCCGACGGTATCGATTCCTCCGCTAATGTAACCTATTCAAAACCCCTCACTATATAATGCGACATGTTCATTTGAATTAATTTAATGTTCCTGATCAGGCTGAATCGAACACAGTGGTGCGGGCTGATTATCAACAGTTGAAAAATTGGGAAGATGGCGATCCATTTGTGTTCAATATGACAATTGTGAGAACATTACGAGGAGAGTAACAAAGAACTAATGGCTATGGCCTTGATAAAGCCCCTCAAGTCATGCAGGTTGCACGTCTTTCTTCTACAACCACCATTTTTTGGAAAATGATAATTATGTATATTTATGATAATTTAAGACATGAATTATTAACATGTCATGGAATGATGGAAGGACAATAGTATTTATTTACAATTAAAATACTTCTAATCATTATATTGAAATAACCAATGAAAAGTCACTCCTAATTTAAAGAAAGTTAGTTTCGAATTTAACGAAGCTCATTATAAATCTATGAAAGGTTAATTATAAATGAATTAAATAGTTTCATGCATATATATTGTCACCTGAAAATTTAAGAATAATTATTTGTAAATTTTAAGAAAGTCACCTGTAAACTTATGGAAAATTATTTATGAATAGATATTCAAAAAATATGATATGGTTCATTGATCATTGATTGACAATTAAAAATTTAAAACTATTTGTATCGATTCACTGTTACTAATGTTCTGTAATATACTTTACAAGTAACATTTTTTAAATTTAAAACTAATTGTCTCTTCATCACAATCAATGATACAAAAATTTATGAGACTATTTATTTATTCATAAGTTAATTTTCATAAATTCACTAGTGGATCTTTCTAAAGTCCGCAATTGATTATTCTTAAAATCATAAGATTATTTATTCATTTATAATTAGCTTTCCATTGATTTACAAATATCATACCTTAAATTTACAACTAACTTCATTTAAATTTATGGGTCACATTCCATATAATTATTTAATTTTTAATGGAAAATAAAGACCCTACTATATCCATGATATTTCAAAAATTTGAGGTATTTAATTATCGTTAATGCATTCACAAGATCTATAATTATTATTTTCCCTTTCTATTTAAACAAGTTTAAATTACTACAAACTAATGTTACTCAACATGCATGAATATTCAAGGGCGGAGCCAGAAATTTTTATTAAGAGGAGCCGAGATAACAAAGTATATGTGATAATTAAAGAAAAGTTAAAATATATATATATATATATATATCACCAACATAATATAAATATTTCAACATATATATTTATATTTAATTTTACACATGTATAACAATGTGTGTGTGTATTAAGTTTTTTTCATTGATTTTTCATGGTATAAAAATTATTAATTATTATATCTACGATATATGTTTTAGCAATTTCCTTCTCAATGCGAATTATCATTAAATTGGTGAAAATTTTATGATCCTTATGAGCATTAAATGATTTAAATACATTATTACAATCTAAAGTCCTGTTCAATATAATACGCCATACCACTTGCTTGTTAAATTCATTATTTATTTTTTAATTGAAAATCAATACATTAATAATTCTCAATTGTCATAAAATCTTTATGTCAATGAAATTAAATTATATCAGAGTAAAAATTATTCATATCATAAATTTCAATAGCTTGACTATTTAAAAAAAAGTAATTTTTTAGAAGAACATTTTCATCAAACCTCTCAACTTTTGGATAAGTGATTTTATGATAGATATCAAGCATATAGCATTCAATATATTTTGAGATTTTTGTTGCAATACTTAACAAAGTTTGTTAATAATAATTCTCACAATTTCTTTCATTAAATATAATATGAAAGCAAAATAAAATGACATCCATACTTTAAGAGTATATATAACATTATCTTGTTAAAACTTAGTAGATTCTAAGACAATCATATCTTCAATCTACTAAAATAGTTACTCTATACGTATGTAAAAGACTACATATAGAATCAAAATGAAAATTTCATTTAGTGTTTCACAATTTCTATAATGTGCCAATTTAAGGGAGTCAAAAATATATAACTCATATCTTTTATTGAGAAAAAATTAAAAAATTGGGGGGCTATGGCCCTTATTGGTCTCCCCTCTCTTGCATGAAATGTAGAACCATTAGAATGCATACATCACAGAAGAAGATTTCGACTTCATGTCTGAAAATGGGTTAGGATTCTGGCGGGTTGGCAGCTCGCACGACCCAAACCCTCCAAAACCTTTCGTTAGAGGATCTTTAGTAGCAGTGGATAATGCTTTTACTTGGGCTTGATCGCCAAGTGTATCGTTCACTTTCAAGCTATTTAAGTATACAATGTTTAAATCTGCATCATTAGCTTAAAAATCAATGAGATATTATGTGCATAACATAATAATAAGCAATCCAAATCTTCAATTGCTGGATAACATTAATTTAACTAGAGTTTGGTCCTTGTTGTCCCATTATTCTCTTAATAAAAGCAATGCGCATTAAAAGTCTTAATGTTCAAAAGGTAAATGATAACCTCTTAATGTTCAAAAGGTAAATGATAACCTACCATTCCAATCAAGGCACAAAACAAAAACAAAAGAAAAAGGGGGAAATGGGAAGAATTGTCAAAAGATCTAAATAACATGTAAGATCACATATTAGAGATTTTAATAACAAAACACTTTTAAAGAGAAAAGTTGTTAATTTTGTCTATTATAAAGCATGCCATCATGCAGTAGTACAAAAAATTAAGAATTAATTTTGTTTATGCTCATGTCATATCATCAATAAGAGAGCAAATAAGTTCACCTTTAGCTTACCATATGTACTTTTTAAGCCTTTTCTCCCACCATTAAATCTTCAATAGTTGTATTGAATAGTATGAGCAAAATTAAATATATTGAAAATAAATGAAAAGATAAAGCTAAATATGTCTTCAAGTATAATAATAAACACGGCAAAGGAATTAACCTTCACAAGCCAATCAATTAGAGTTCCCCACATGCCCAGATTGATATCCTCTACAACCTCTTGATTGATGTTTACAATGGCCAAGCCATTTGAGCTTAGTTTTTCTATTTTTACATTAATCAATTGAGGCACATTCAGCCCCTGTTTATTGACAGATCACAATGTCCTATATTTGGTTGCAAGTAATGCAACGGTTACTTGGAACTTTTAATTCTTTAGAAAAAGGGAAATTATGCAAAATTTTTCTTAAAAAAAAGCAAAAAATTAACTCCATGAATTAATATTGAAAATAATTGAGTAAGAAGCCATGAGACTCATTATGTAAATATTCTAATAACTTATATGTAAAAATCAATATAAAATAACATTTGAAGACAAACTTCGCTATGCAGGAGGATTGATATAATAACATGAAAATTTAAATAAATAAATAAATAAAATTGTGGGTAAAATAGTTATATTTTGTTAATTTTAGGATAACTTTAAACAAGATGAAGGGGTGGCTTAGTGGAAGTTCTAGTCCACTCCTTTAGGTCCCTTGTTTGATCCTTGGTGCTAGAAGATGCAATTCTTTTTTTTAAATTCTGTTTTGGCTTGAAAAATTACCAGAATGCCATTAAAAAAAATAGAAAGAGATATCAAATGTCTTTATTTCTTCATCCTTCCCCATTTTCATTTTTGTTGAGAGAGAGAGAGAGAGAGAGAGAGAGAGAGAGAGAGAGAGAGAGAGAGAGAGCGCGCGCGCGCATGCGCACTTCAAGTCTTCACCGACATTCGTCTCCCGTTCTTCCTTTCGCTACTGATCCTTGCTACCGGTGACAGTGGGTACGCCAGAATCTTCCTCTCCCGTCATCCTTATCTAGTGTTTTTCCTTGGTTCCACGATGGCCTCTCTTCCTTCTTGGTTCATCGTCACTGTCGTCATCATAAGCGTGGGCTGTAGGACATCCGTTGCTACCATGGAAGTTCGATCGTGTGGTCTTCTCCATATTCTTTCCATTAATTAGTCGTTGGTCCTCTCTTCTGCCTTCCCTTTTGTTGCTGTGGTCGAAAACCTCTTCCTCTTCTCATTTCTTCTTAACGGTACTGTCTTGGGTGAGTGAGGAAGAGCTTCAAATCCTTCCTTCATGTCTCCTTTACTCTTTAGTAAACTAAAATCTCATCATTTCCCTTTCTAGCAATGGTTATGTGGCTGTGCATATTGTGTGGGTAGTAATAGATTATAATTCTCCCTCTTTGTTCTGTTATTGTTGAGTGAGAGAGTAGATATGGTTTATTAAAGCTGAAATTCAACTTTAACAGCATATATATATATATATATATATAGGCAATTTAACTTATGTATTTGTTACCGTAAGGAAAGGAATTTAAAGTTGCTTTCTTTGGGTTTAAGTTGATTTTTTTATTTTTTATGGAGAGTTTGATTTGTACAATATAATATTGATGTTGGAATTGTTGGGGCAAGAGAATGAAGGTTAAGAAGTTTAATTGATTGATTTGAAAATTTATGCATGTTAGGTGTTTGTAAAAAGTTTATTAAAATTTTATTATATCTAATAGGGACTTCAGAAGAAGAGAAGCTTGATTGAAGTTGTAAGAAAGGAATTTTATGAACTTGGTGATATATTAGGTAAGTAAATAGCATTCCCCAGTAAATAGAAGTAACGATCTTTCTCTTACCTTATTTATTTTTTTATTTACTTACTTTAATTGTTCTAGACGTATTTTTTTAATTGTATCTTATGGTTAAGCTAATTTATATGTAATTGGCTTATTTATTATTCAACTTTAATTATGTAGGCATTCTCATGGTATCTTATTTTTTTTAATATTACATATGCATGGATTGGATAAATTATAGGTAAAAAGGTTATTTGTACTTCATAATTAAAGGAAAATTTTGAACTATAAGGATTTCTGGACTTCATGTATGACATAAATGTTTTATATAACTGAATAAAGAATGCTGGTTGTTAACAATAATTTCATTAACCCTTAACACACCAGGGTATATCTAGCTAGCAAGGTACTTTGAAGGTGCTAGCCCCATGTATCGGCCAACACATGTGGAAGGAAGGATGTAATCTAATGGATATGATCCATGCCTATTTTTCATGGCTTTTAGCCACACTAAATGTTACTTACCCTCATGGACTATGTGTCTATACCTATTATTCATTCTGTTCAGGTCTTAGCAGAAAATAAATTTTCTTGGTTATATTTTTGCTCTTAAGAATTGTATTCTTATGATTTATTTTATATAAAAAATATATTCCTAACTTATTGATTATGATTCTCTATTCTCTCTTTTCTATTTTTGTTACTCAATTATCAAAGATAAATTGTGTTGTTATCTTCTAATACCATCAGTAAATAGATTGGCCTCTTGTTTCCTATTATATATGTTTATGATTATCATTTTCATTTATTATTATTTGGGAGTGTTGTCTACTGGAAAAATTTTTGGTATTTAGATAGTAGAAATGGACTTGCTTTTCAGCAAACCTCGTGGGACTACTTGAGACGAGAAGCATTTTGTTGCTCAAATTACGTTGTGAATTAATGTAAATATTTAAGCATTTTATTTTTTATAGAGTTACTCCAGGAATCATATAGGTAGGATCCTTAGTTAAATTATTTTGGTTTGCATATATATATATATATATATATTGTATCAAAATAGAACTCCAAGTGCTGTTTGGATGTTCTTTTTAACAGGTTGTAGAGATTTTGGGAATGTCTAACTTACAGCAAAAATTGTGCCAAAATTTCTATAGCAAGCTTAAGTATTTTGTTCCTATTAACAATGGCTTAATATAAATGACAATTGTATGAAAAAATTATAATTAATATGTTAGATGGGTTAATGTTTTAGGTTTAAGGAATATGAGTTTTTTTGTATTTCAGCTTATCACACTTTGAAAGTTCGGGGTGTGACAATTGAGTTCTAATTGTTCATTGAAATTAAACGAATAAATATATACGTAGTTTGCATGAAATTGCCACCTTTCAAGCATGTCATATTCAACCAATCTATTTTTCATTTGGGTTTCCTGCCATTTGATATCTTATTTTATGTTCAAATGTTTGAAATTTAGCCTTTAAGTACTTGAAAAAGTTAAAAGGTTCACATGCAAAATGCCACATTGATCAAATGCATAATGTTTCCTGGATGATGGGTGTACACTTGCAAGAGATACCTTAAACCCTAAACACTAAACCCTCCAAAATTTTATAAGCATGTGTTGCCATAATCACTACTACAGAATTACGGGTATTTGATGTATATATATTTGACAGTTATTGAAAAATTCATTACATAAGGAAAGGCAGAAACTGGGAAAACCAATATTTGATGGTTTCAACAAAAATCATCAAATATATAAATCAATATATTTAACAATTATATATAAAACCACTAAACTTAAAATATAATATTTAAATTAGGGAATTTTTAGAAATTTTTTTATATAAGTTTGATGGTTAAGTAGTTAACCATCAAATATAGTCAGACAATATTTGATGATTAACCTTGATAACCGTCAAACTTATGCAATTTAAGATTGCCTTCGCCTTCTTCATATCTCACGTTGCTCTATAGAGAGAGCTAAACCAAACATGCCTGGAAATTTTGAATCTCTCTGAAACTTCTTCTCTACCTAAATGTCTCTACTACTTTGACTTGTCTAGAAGCATTGATTTGTGAAGATCCCATTATCCATCGTCATGCCCTAGCTTCTTTGAGCACATAATTGCCTCCATAATCAGAGCTTAGTGAAGAATCAGAGCCTTTGCAAGCGGTCGGGCTATTGCTCTGTGAAGAATTAGAGCATTCTTATGCTCTTGCTCTAACAACTTGGTGGAATCTATTCGAGCTATTCTGTTCTACAATTTCATTCTGCATTGACTAAAGAAATTCTCAAGTATGTTTAAGCTGTTCATTCTCTTTTTTTATTCAAATGCTTGAGGTTCGAATTGGTAACTATGGTAGCTATAGTCTGTGATTTATACTTGTACTGGATTGCTTGCTTTACATTGATCATTTTCTACTGTGGCTGGGTGCTCAATGAAAGCATGTTGATGTTGTTTGCTTTTCTTTCCATGGATGTATGCAAGGTGCTTGACAGAATGCCTCTAAGAAATTGAAAATCACCCAAGCACTCTTAGCCAAAAGAATTAAATTGGAATAATAATTATTATACCTAATTAGAGCATCTCTTTCAAAATTAGTCCTAGTACATGTTCCTTATTGGTGTAAGAGCTAGATTTTTGGGTAGAGTCTAAAGATGAGGGGTCTGAATATAGCCTATATATCTATGAATCTATATATATATATATATATATATCAAAATTAACGTTTATTTAGAGCATCTCTTTTAAGGCATATCTATGAATGTAGCTTATATATCAACTATTATTAGAATCCAAAGATGAGATATCATTATTTGGTAGTTCTTTAATTCCTATGTCAAGATAAAAATCAAGATTCGTTGAAAAGAAGAAAAAAAATAGAGAGGATATTGTTCTTGAAGTATTCCATTGGGTATAGATATATTTTGATTTACTGCTATTGGAATCCAAAAGTATAATAGAAAAATGCATGCTTGTGCACATGACACTAGCTAGTTGTTTGGCATTTTTTTGGCTTAACCATCGACTAAGAGAATAAAAATATTTCACATTTATTTTTTTAGTTAATGTTAAAGAAATTAACTTCTTGCTATTGAATTAAGTTTGATTAAACTATACAAGGATTGAATTTAATTCAAAGAGGGGGTAAAATGCCCAAGAAACTTCCAATTATAAGTTGTTATGCTGTCGAAATTTTATTAAATAGTAATAAAATTTGTGGCTTTATTAAGTTTCAAATCATTGGAATTGTGTTTTTGTGAATTTTGTTGTTACCTAACTAAGTAGGAATGAATTAGATTATAAGTTATGAAGTTTTATTACTTATTAGTAGATAGTAAAATTTTTACTAAAACTAAGTTCTTCAAATTAGTTTTCATACTTGTAATCAATAAAGTTTATTGAGGAATTATGTGTGAAAGCATGTGACTCATGATTCATTATTTGATTGATGAAGACTGTAACATCCCGAAATTTTAAGACTCGAATTTATAAAAATAAAATAAAAGAAAATATCTATAATTAAATTAAAATTTAGAATAATTTGATAGAGGTCTAGAGTTTGAATTTTACTAAGTAAAAGTTTAGTTTTATTTGATTTTTAACTATGGGAAAAATTACCAAAGTTGACCTGGGCTTTTGTGCAATAATAAAAAAATGTTGGGCCCTTTCTTGTAATTTACCCCAAAATGTTTTAGCATTAGTTTTAAAGAGCAAAACAGACCAGAAACGTAGAAAAGAAAACAAGGAAAGGAAAGGAAACGCGTGAGAGAGAGAGAGAGAGAGGAAGAAGAAAGGAGAAAGAGAGGGAGTTAGGTTCGGATCTAGGAGTCTTTGCGACCGTTGCGAGCTCGGCTACACGATAGGTAAACTCCCTACTTCAATCCTCTTCCCTTTCTCTTGATTTTTTTCAATTTTTGGAAGAGGATATTTTTGGATTTTGATCTCAAAGGCTTTATTCTTGTAAGCTTTTGTTTCTTTGGATCCTAGGGAGCATGTTTTGAGTTTCTATATAGTGATCTAATGTTTTGAGTGGATAATTGGATGAAAAGAGGTGTTTTGGGCACAAAATAAACCTTGAGAAATTGGGTTTTTGCTCTTCAATGGTTTAAGCTTATTGATTTAGTTATAATTTTTCTATTTGAGATCAATAAGATTTAAATTAAGGTTTGGTTTTCATTATAAGGGCTAATGGTGAAAGCTGGTGACACTAAGTGAAGGTTTTTAATTGATAAAAAATTATATAAATTGAAAATTAGCCTAATGATGGCTAATAAATGATTTTGGTGGTTAAGTGATACTATGTGAATGTTTGGTTTAATATATGGACCATTAGGGTGGATTATGACTCATTGACCCAAGTTGTGTGGTATGAGTTATAGTCTTCATTAATACTATTTGTCATGATAAGTGATGTGGATCACTTATATGTTGTAGGAAATTATTGGTGAAACTTATTGAGAAGTAAGGAACAAGCCGAGCCCTATTTTGTACAAGGGGAACCCTTTTGGTACCAAAGGGTTGAGGTAACAGGGAAATTTATATTTCTTATTACTTTGTTTTAGTTATTTTTGAATAAATATTACTAGTTATCATGCATTACATGTTTTAAAAGATTAAGTGTGTTTTATAAGGGGTTATGGGGTACTACTTTGATTATAGTGCAAATATGTTTTCTAATTGTTTAATAACAATGTTTTTATGGAAATGAGATTTATAAATATTATACTACTTTAGAGTGTTGAATGGTCAATACTCAGGAAAGGTAGACAAGAGTAAAAGGCATGATCTCAGTGGGAGTTCACCAATGAGAAGGTGTGGATTTTTGATATTCTATGGCACACTGTCAGTACTCAGTGTTGTCTTACGTATTGTGGGCTCAATACACTAAAGTGGTTAGTGTATTGAGAGTTCGACACCTCTCAGTGGGAGAGGGAATCCAACATATGAAGTGTGAGGTTGAGTGCCTAGGCCAAGGTAGCCCTCACATGGAAAGTAAGTTAGGCTGGCTCTAGGAGGGAGTTAGCTTCAACTGCTTAGGATTCACGTCGAAGGGGCATAGGAGGTTCGGTGGATTATATCATGCCTTAGATTATATTTTGTGCCTGTGGAGGTACAAGTAGGTATAAGGTTTACCTACGAGTTAAAGAGTGCCAGGTGGCATTCTGTTGGTCATGAAAGGCTATATCGGCCTAGGTCATGCATTCATGCATTTTAAATGGCTAAATTATATACTATATTGAATTTATTATTCGTTTATTTGATTATGGTTTACTTTGTAATAATCAATGTAGATTTCACTGTTACTGAGACTATGGTTGTCTCACCCCTTTCTTTTCAATATTCTAGGTCCAGGCGAAGGATCCAGTGATGGACGGGGAAATGACCAATGCTAGGGGTTTACTTGTGATTTGTAAAGAACTGCAACCCCTTTCTTTTGAGAAAATATATTGTAATGTATTTAAGATTAGGGTGTCAGTAGGATATGATTATGTGTGTGTGTGTGAATATGTGTGGATTGTGTGCTTGTGCATGAATTTTTGTCTGTTTGTAGACTTGTGGCTAGGAAACTTGGTTATAGTGTGTGGTTTTGATGGATTTACTTAGTAGACCAAGTTTCTATTACAAGCAGATCTTTATTTTAATATATATATATATGTGTGTGTGTGTGTGTGTCATTCTATAAGCAATTGCAAAGTGGTTGCATTGCAAATGGTGTGCTATGGGCAAACAAACATCTTGGATAGAGAGAGTGGGTCCGTGGGCCCCACAAGGAGCTCTGAGCCAAGTGAAAATGTTTAGCATATGTATTTATATAAATACATGGTATTTGGATTGATTTGTGACCACTCTTGTATGATTTGTGCATTTTGGGGGTTTAGGGTCCATTTTGGAAAATGGCACCCGGGTGGTCAAATTTTGATGTATGGGGGTTTTCCATCATTTGAATGTTCTATCAAGTTTTTTTAGTCTTATTTGACGTGTCCAAAGTGTTCCCACAGGTTTGTGACCATTAGGATGAGATTTGGACAATTTTGAAAATGGTTTTTACTAAAAAGCTGCACTTTTACATCCGGGTGTCCAAATCTTAATCCGACCGTTGGGTTTCTCTAAAATTTGGGTCACAAGTAAAACCATTTATAAGCTTTGTGTGGGCTTTAGAATCACGTCAATCGGATATCGAACGGAGAAACGACACACTCCGGAATTTGGTCTGGAGGTGCTGTCATGACAGCATTAAATTGCTGTCATGACAGCTACAGTGTTGATGTTGTAACCTGCACAAAATTCAATCCATCCGTTGGATCTTTTCAAAATTTAGTATGCTAATAGTATTCTTTAAAAGTGACATGTGGGCTTTAGAATCACTCCGATCAGAGGTCAGATGATGAAATGGTGCACTCCGAAAGTTGGTCTGGAAATGTTGTCATGACAGCTTTTTAGCTGTCATGACAGCAAAAATAACCAATTTTTTAACATGTCTAATTTTCAATCCGACCGTTGGATCTTTTTGAAATTTAGTATACTTATAGTACTCTTTGAATGTGACGTGTGAGCTTTAAAATCACTTCGATCGAAGGTCGAATGATGAAACGGTGCCTCCCGGAAATTGGCCCAGGAGGGCTATCATGACAGTAATTTAATGCTATCATGACAGCATCTTTTTATTTCACTTTCGTCTACCTTACTTCCGCGTGCTATAGGTAGAACCTATAAATTTTTTTTAAAGGCTTTAAATGTTTACTTTTCAATTGTGTATTTGCTTAGTGATTTAAATGATTTGTTTCCTAAGTTGGTTTTAGGATTTATTCCTTAACCACACTTAGTTTATTTGAATTGTGTAATTTTTGGATAACACTCGGGGCAAGTGTTACAAAGACCTAATATCAATGAGTCACTAATCATATTTTTTCTCAAAGTGATTCTTTCTAGATCTAGAAGATGACCAAGGAATGGATGTCTTCCAATCGATTAACGAAGGAATATTTGAATGGGGTAAAAGAGTTTAAGTTTGCACTTAAGCACACAAACGATCATACTAGTATGGTGTGCCCTTGTGTAAAATGTTATCTGATGAAGCGGGTTTGTGCGTCTAAATTAGAAGATCATTTAGTATGTTATAGAATTAATTAGAGTTATAAGTATTGGCACAAATATAGAGAGACAAGAAATGCGAGCTGGGGTTATAGTAAGAGCTACTTGTCACATGATTTTGATACAAGTACATATGAGGCTAATAAGGAAGACCATCTTGAAGAGATGGCCAGGGTAATTGAAGAGGAATTAAAGGATTGTCCTCAAATGCTTGAGAGATTAAAAAGTAATATGGAAAAGCCTTTGTATAGTGGTTGTGCTGAGTTCACATTATTGTCAGGGGTGTTAAGTTTGTACAACTTGAAAGTGAGTAGCGATTGGAGTAATAAGAGCTTTAGTGAATTGCTTGCACTTCTTAAAGTGATGCTACCTAAAGTGAACGAGCTTCCTATTAACACGTATCAAGCAAAATAAATGTTATGTGCTATTGGCATGAGCTATGAGAAAATTTATGCTTGCCCAAATGATTGTATATTATTTAGAAATGAATATGAATCATTAACTAAGTATCCAAAATGTAAAGCATCACGCTTCAAAGATAATAGGAAAAGTCCGGAGAAGGCATTGTAGTATTTTCCTATTGTGCCTAGATTTAGACGATTGTATAGTAGCAAAGAAGATGCAAAAAATTTAACGTGACATACAGATGAGAGGATTAAAGATGAAAAACTATCGCATCCTACTGACTCTCCCCGATAGGGAATGATTGATTATGAGTACCCTGAATTTAGATAAGAATCAAGGAACTTATGCCTTGCATTATGTACAGATGGAATGAATCTGCATGGGCTCCAAAGTAGTACCCATCGCACTTGGCCAGTGATTTTGATAATTTACAATTTACCTCCATGGTTATGCATGAAACACAAATACATGATGCTATCCATGCTAATTTTAGGGCCAAAACAACCAGAAAATGACATAGACGTGTATTTAACTCCTCTACTTGAAGACTTCAATTTATTGTGGGAGATAGGGGTTGAGGTGTATGATGGGTATAGGGAAGAAAAATTTAATTTGAGAGCTTTGTTATTTGGTACCATAAATGACTTTCTAGCGTACCGTAATTTATCAGGGTACAGTATAAAAGGAAAACTTGAATACCCTATTTGTGAAGAAAACACAGATTCAATTAGGTTGGAGCATGGTATGAAGAATGCTTATATGGGGCATCACAAGTGGTTGCATCCAAGTCATTATTATTGAAAATTGAAGAAATGTTTTAATGGAAATTCAGAAGAATGTGGCCCGCCTTTAATATTGACTAGTGACCAATTGTTTGAAAAGGATAAGGATTTGTATATCGATTTTGGGAAACCTCTTTCAAAGCACCTTGGGACAAGTGGGTGGAAGAAAAGGTCTATTTTTTTCAAGTTACCATATTGGAAGGTCTTGTATGTTAGGCATTTTCTTGATGTGATACACATCGAAAAAAATATTTGTGATAGTATTGTTGGTACGTTACTCCATATTCCTAGAAAGACTAAAAATAGCATCAATGCAAGGTTAGACATGTTTTCTATGGGGATAAGGGAAGACTTAGCACCAGAGGAGAAGGGGAGTTGCACCTTTCTTCGTCCAGCAGCTCACACATTACCTAGAAAAGAAAAAATTTCTTTCTATGAGTTTCTTGCTGCAGTTAGAGTTTCAGAAGGTTACTCATCAAACATTAAAAACCTTATGTTAATGAAAGACCTAAAGCTGAAGGGTTTAAAATCTCACGACTATTATGTTTTGATGGAAAATTTTATTCCAGTAGCGATACGTTCTATTCTACCTAATAAGGTGCGAGACATAATCGTAAAATTATGTTTCTTCTTTAAATCCATTTGTAGTAAAGTTATTAATCCCAACAAATTGTCGAAGTTATAAAGCTGAATTGTAAAAGCATTGTATGAGCTAGAGATGTATTTCCCACCTGCTTTCTTTGACATAATGATTCACTTAACTATTCACTCAGTGAAGGAGGTACAAATGTATGGCCTGGCTTATTTAAAATGGATGTATCCTGTGGAGCATTATATGAAGATATTAAAAGGATATGTCAAAAATTGTAGTCAACCTGAGGGTTGCATTGTTGAATGGTATATCAATGAAGAAGGGGTTGAATTTTATATTGAATATTTAAAAATGTCAATTATATTGGGCTACCAGTGTCTTGGCATATGGGAAGGAAAGGTGGGGAAGGGATAATAGGAAAGAATATAGTTACTGTCTTAAATTTACAGTAGGATCAAGCACATCTTTATATATTGCATAACTCAGAAGAGGTTCAAGAATTTGCAGACAAGCACTTGGATGAGCTTAAGAAGGATAATTCCAATAGAGGTGAAACTTGGTATGCGAAAGAACATAATAAGCAATTTGCACATTGGCTAAAAAACCATATTCGTGATAATTTCAACATGAATCTTGATTCTGTTCCTGAAAAAATAAGATGGTTGGCTAGAGGTCTGAGCAAGCAAGCAGCTTCTTATGTTGGCTATCTTATCAATGGATACACCTTCTATACTAAAGAGCAAGATAGTCGAAGCACAATGCAAAATAGTGGTGACACTCTTATTGCTCATGCGATGCATGTAACTAGCTCTAAAGACAACAACCCAATATACGCAAATATGTCATATTTTAGGGTAATTGAGCACATTTGGGAGTTAGATTATGTAAAATTTCAAATTCTGGTCTTCGATTGCAAGTAAGTTGACCATAAAAATGACTTTTTAATTGATGATAACTCAGGGTTGATACAGGTGAATCTGAACAAAGAAGAGTATAAAGATGAGCCTTTCATCCTTGCTTCGCAGGCCCGACAAGTGTTCTATATTTCTGATCCTGCTAAAACTAATTGGTCCATTGTTTTATTGACAAATAAATTCATTAAAGACATGGATGATACTGTTTTTGAGGATGATCCATTTTTAGGAACGTTGCTTGAAAGTAATTTCACTGAAGGTGATGCATTCTATATAAGAAATGATCATACTGAAGATATTTAGATATCAAAGAGAGGAAAAAGGATTTGAGACTAGAGTAAGCAAGGAAAAGATTAAAAGAAGACAAGAAAAAAAAGACCAACTTAAACATGTGTGTTTTTACCAAATAAAAATTACTTGTGTTTATTTAATTATCGCATATGGTCTTCTATTTTCTAAATAACTGTTACATGTATGTTTGGTTTATTTTATAAATAATTATTTCATGTGTCCATTGATTTTCTAATTATATATGTTCTTGCATTTTATAGGTAACTGGCTCTTAAGAAAGGTAAACGCAAAGGTCATAATGACCTTAATGTTCTCAGGGGTGGCCCCAGCATTAACCCTAGCAATGGTCCTAGCGTCGATCCCAGCGGTGGCCCCAATGTCGACCCCAGCAGTGGCCCTGATGATGTAGCTAATGGTGATGCTTCCAGTGTTGCTCCTAGTCTGACAATGAATGATAATCTACTTCAGGAGGAGGCAACTGAGATTAGAAAGTGCTTAATGTTGATGACAAAAGTGAATAGACGGAGGATAGCTGGACAAAAATATCCCCTCCAATGGAATGCTAAAGGGCAATTGATTAAGGACAATAAAGATAAATTCATTAGCTATATTGAAGCTGTTGCAAAAGTAAATGTGCCTATCACACTCAGAAATTAAAAGAAGGCAGATCATCTACGAGGTAGTATATTTGCAAACAAGTAGAGATTTATTTGTTAACTTACCATTATATGACTGTTGTGTCTATAATAGTTTATCAATTTACTAATAACATGCTAATATTTTACAGTCAGCATTTATAATTGATGCTAGTCCAAGGAAGTATGTCCTCCAAATAGCTGGGAGAGCAATGCATTTTTTTTTATATTTTGTGAGATCAAAATATATTGAAAGAGTGTGTAGTAACATTAATTCCAAGGTCCCTACTTTAATTAAACCTTTAGTAACCCAATAACAATGGGATAAGTTTGTTGTATCTCATTTTCAAATGGAATTTCAAGTGATTTTACTTTACCAATTGATTTTAATTTTCTAATAATATTATGCTATATTATAAGTTTAATTAATTTTAATTTTTTTCACAGCAATTGAGCCAACAAAATTAGGAGTTGGTTAAGAAAAATCTATATCCTTTTAAGAAAGGGCGTGTGGGGTATTTAGGCATAGAAAAAAAGATGGTATTTATTAATTACTAATATTTATTAATTTTAAAATTACTCCACATTTATTTGTTCTATTTGCTAGTTGCTAATTTTTTTGCTATTGACATGCACAGATTGAGCGAGAAGGCACAGGAGTTAGTAGCATATCCTGCCATGATCTTTTTATAGAAGGCTGAACTAACAAAGAGACATTACAGATGAGCATGTTCAGGAGATAGTTAATAAATGTGTAAGTATCAATATTATTAATTTGACATAATAAATTTAATTTTTTCATTCAAACAAATAATTTAAGTTTTTCAATTTGTGTCACATAGGCTGCTATCTTAGATGAAGTCTCAAAGGGTGAGCATCCGGAGGATGAAGATATCTTGGGTTAGGCATTGGATAATCCTGACCACCCCGAACGTGTTAAGGGTGTTGGTTTTAGCATTATCAAGAAGCAAGTATTTGGGACTACAAAGCCATCAAAAGGTGCAATGCCTTCTTCAGCTAAGTTTAATACACTAAAAGATGAGGTTGATAGGCTACATCAGTTTGTTGATGTGTTGCTCACGTCCCAAGGAAAGACATCCACTCATGTGGAAATTAGTCCTAATAGTAAGAGAGACAGTTGCAACGTAACTCAGCCTTCTTATCCAAACCTTCCTGAGGTAATCTTAATATTTTTTTAGTTATATTCATTTTTGTATTAATAAATTATAAATGTTTCCATTGCTTTAGGGTGAAGCCGAATGTGAGTTTTTGACAAACAGTCCAGATCGCTGTGTGGTTGCAATTGGTATAATGTATAATGTTCCTGAGGGCACTATACATAATGTGCCAATTCTTCTACGCCACGTATGAGTTTGTCTAAAAGTTTCTTTGGACGACAACTATCAGTTGCCCATTCCTACGGAGGATGTGATGACTGTAGGAGATGCATTGGGCACCTTTGTTGCATGGCCCACTGCCCTGATAAAGGCCGATATCTAACAAAGATAAGGTACACACACACACACACAATTTATAAAGCTGATCTCAAACAAAGATAAGGTATCTATATAATAACTTTTGATCTCTAACTATCTTTGGTATATAGTCCAAGGAAAAAGACTTCCTCAGTAAACAATCAACTGGCCATGATTCAAAGATTATCGCACCTCCCCTGCTTCAAAAGATGGAGCCTCAATTGTCACATAAATTCCTGACTTCACTAGGGGTATATGCAGACATGCAAAGGAGTATTCATGATTTTATTGCTGTAGACGTCCCATTTGAGCATGGCATGTATGACAAAGATTATATTAATCACATAACGCTCGAAGTCATAGATGAAGTACTCCACTATGGCATGATTAGCATGACCGTCATGGATTTTTATTTAAGGTACTTCTTTTGTATAAAAGTGGTCATTATTTTTATAAATATATACTAATCTGTTTGATTTATTAATTTTAGGTTTCTCTATCTTACAATCGTCGTGCCCCACAACCTTACTAGGATGTTCACCTTCATTTGTCCTTATGACATTACTGCTTTTTGTGACATTCGGGACTCTGATCATGAAGATCAAGCAAAGCGGCTGTGTGATTCATTCAAAGCCAGGACTACTAAAAAAAGGGGGAGGTTATTCTTGATACCTTACGTGTAAGGGTTAGTTATTTGTTATATTTAATGTGTTTTCTCAATTTTATTAACTATTTCAATTTATTATATATTCTTTACAATTGTTAATTATTTTAGGGATCATTGGATGCTAATTGCCCTCAATTCGGCTGAAGAAAAATATAAGAAATTGCCATCTATTACTTATGTTCTGCTGGCGGACAACTAGATAATCACAAAAATATGACGGAATTAATCAACAAGTAAGCACATTAATTAAGTTCATACTTGTGTTTTTTGATATTTCAAACTTACCAACTTCTATGTTTTTAGGGCTGTGTTTTTTTTACTACACGTATGAATCTTTAACTGTCCTTAGGGTCAAACCATTTGACCAGTTGTTCACATGGACAATAATAAGGGTATGTGTTTAAACATTAATTTTTCAAGTATTTATTAACAATTATTCAATAATTTAATATATTTTGTTTGTTTTGCTTTTAAAGTACTCGCGTCAAAGACTAGATTTAGTGGACTATGGATATTGCATGATGAGATTCATTAAGGACATCATCACTCACACCAAGACTTCAATCCCTACCAAGGTTCATATTTAATTTAAATATATGTTTTATATATGGCAAAATTTCATTAGTTAGCTAATTAACTTTGATATGGTTATAATTTAAATTGTAGTATTATGATAACGCTTATTGTGAAGAATTTGGGGATGCTCACATCAATGAAGTTGTGGAAGAGTGGTGCCAACATATGTTTCAACTATGGATCATGAAAAATTCATGCATTTAGTGAGTGCACATTTGGTCTAGCTTGAAGGCAAAAAGAATGTGGCTTAGGATAGAATTATTGTTTCATTTTTTAGGATAGAATTGTGATTTAGGATTAAGATTTGCAACTTTTTTGTTTATAATTAATGTGTACTATGTATGTGTATATACATATATGTATATGTTCTTTTAATTCTGAAAGAATGTTGCTGATGATAATATATATTTGCTAGATTGTCTGGATTATGAAATGTCAATTATGTTGCAGGGGGATGCTTAAACGCAGCTTCCATATAAAAGAAAATTTTACAACATATTTGATGGTTATCTAATATAACCGTGAAATATATATATATATATATATATTTCACGGTTCTCACATATAATTGTCAAATATGACCTTACTTTTTAGTCAAAGCAAGTTTTTATACCTTATACTTGACGGTTATTTAGAATCGTCAAGTATAATATCACATATTTGATAGTTAAAATAACCATCAAGTATATAGAGCTCCATAAATGACGGGGTCTTATTTGACGGTTTTTAATCGTCAAATATATAGGAAAATAACAGTCAAATATGCATAATTCATATAGTAGTGAATCTAGTATTACCAAAAAAATACCCAATTTTAATGGCCAACATTTCATCAAACTTTAAGTTCTAATGATTCTTGAGGTTCCCTCTTACCCCATCCAAAACATTCATTATAAAGTATTATGATCCCATTTGAAATGGCAAATAGTAACTCAAAATTGTACAATAATTTGAGACTTGGCCATATTTATTAGAAGAGAATGATTCTTTTCCTACCTACCAATTATGCTTGTAGAATTTAATTAACGTGAACTTGTTTGATAATGTCAAAAGTCACCTCTTTTTAGAGTTTACTGGCAAGGGCCACCCATTCATCTAAGTTTGCATTAACTTCCTATGACACATAGTACAAACCCAGACTCCAAAAGCATATTAAAACCTTAAATAAGATAGCAGGCAAATACTCAATAAAATAAATCTGCGAGCATATTTGGAGAGTTCTATTTCTAGGAATAGAAATTTGAAAAACCTAAGCCATTGCCCCTAGTAATGTTGAGTCACCTCGAGAGTTTTCCCATCAAGGACTATACATGTCCCCATCATGGAAGCACCACCAATCCACTCTGAGCTTGTTTAGAAATTCAAAGTTAGCTCTCCCTGTGTTAATTAAGGGAAATCAATCTCTTATCAAGCATAAATATTTGAGTGAATGAATATGCAATAGACCAACATGAGAATCATGTAGTAACATACTTCTTTCTTTAGCCATATTTAATGGATTGGTACCGTCTCCCACAGCCAAAATTTGGTTTGTGCACTAAATGGATCACTACTTGTTCCATAAAAAGTATACCAAAATGCAACACTAAATCTAAATCAATCCTATCATTCAAGAACAAAAATTCAGTCAGAGGACATAGCAAGAGGATGAACTAAGTCATACTGTCGCACCTGAAAAAATGCAATGCGGACAGGGCGCGAGTGAAGGTCCCCAGCCTTTGTGGCAGGAATTGAATGGACAAGGAGTCGCCACCAAGATTTTGAGAAAAATCTCAGGAAACTATTTAAAAGGAGGATAAGGATGATCTGCGAAATTAGAGAATAGGTTCGGAAGTCGGTTGAGTGTAGGGAAGGTGTTAAGCATCCCACAACACCTGTTCGTCAGAACGGTTACCTAAAGTTTATTATACTCTATTAATATGGCTTTATAATTATTTTAATTATCTTTTTTATATTCATGTGTTTGATAAAAATGATAAGAATTAGGTGAGAAATATTTATTTATTTACGAGGGAGGAAGGACTTGACTCAGAATCTAACTCTGAGGCCTACCGTACCCTGTGATGGGGATTAAAGTTCACGTAGTTCGGGCTTGAAAGTTTGTTGGTGAAAATATTTTTGAAGAAAAATTAATTAGAAATAATTCACCATTTTGCAAATAAAACAATTTCTGAAATTTTGATATGTGTGTTTTAAATTGCAAAGAGTAATTTAATTTTAATTATTTTCTCAATTTTTGAATTTTTGGAATAAAGAAAGAAAAGAGTTTACAATTTTTCTTTTATGTGTTATGATTGGGAGTTTTAACTGCTATACCTGTAGAGCTTTATTGATTCATACAGTAATACAATTGTTCTAAATATTTGCGAAGATTTTGAAATCTCACATAATAAAAGAGTTTAGCAATTTAATTTATTTATTTTTAAATGCTAGTAATAATTTATTCAAGCATGTATGTACATTTTTTTAAAGAATTTTAATCATCATACCTGCATAGCCTTATTATCTTATACGATAATATGATTCTCCTAAATATCTACGGAGATTCTAAAATCTCACACGATAAAGGAATTAAATTTAAATAATTCTTTAATTTAATTAATTTGATATATAATTTATATGTATATTTTAAAAATTTAATCGTTATATCTGTAGAATCTTATTGACTCATACGATAATATGATTATCTTAAAAGTCTATGAAGATTCAAAAATCTCACATGACTAAAAGATATAATTGATAAATATGATTAAAATTTAGATGCATTAATTTGGTTAATTAATTTTCTAATTTGTGTATTATATGATTATTTAAAAATTATTTATTATATTATAAAAATTGAGAATCACTATATCTGTGAGGACTTATTATCCCACACGATGAGGTGATTAATTTAAGTCTCTACGAAAATTCTTAAAATCTCACATGAAACTTAAATAAATTAATTTGGATTATAAAAGAGAGTTAATTTTAATATATAAGTTTTGCTCTCAAATCTGCGAAACCTTATTGATTTATACGATACGAGATTATCCTAAATATCTGCAGAGATTCAAAGTCTCACACGATAAAAGGATTAAATAATATTCACTTTAAATATATTTTAATGCATAATTATATGACGCATGTTTTTAAATATAGAAATCTTAAACGTTATACCTGTGAAGCCTTATTGACTAACACGATAGTATGAATATCCTAAAGGTTTAAGGAGTTTCAAAAATCTTACATGACCAAAAGATTTAATTAGAAAATGTGATTATAATTCAAATTTATTAATTTAATTAATTAAAATCATAAAAAATTATTATTTTACTTACAAAAATTCATTTATGTAATATATACAAATTAAGAATCATGATATTTGTGGGGACCTATTATCCCATATGATGATTTGATTAATTTAAGTCTCTATAAAGATTTTTAAAATCTCACATGATACTTAAATGTTTATTATAAGATTGATTCTCATACTTGAAAAATCTTATTGATTTACACGGTATGAAATCATTCTAAATGCCTATGGAGATTCTTAAAATCTCACACGACAGATAGATAATCAAAATATTTGCATTTATAGTCGGTGCATAATATTATGGTTGGCTAAACGATTCATGCAATAAAGACAATAGAAAGAATAGAGAAATAAACTATTTTGACAATTTACTATTCTTTTGACTTGGGGATGTATTCTAAAAGATCCAGATTTGGCATAAACTTTTAGCAAGATTATAACCATAATAGATACGGCTTTTAAACCACAATCACCCTACTAATTACCAACAATATTCTCACAGGCTTTTTTTTTATTTTGTCAAACACCTTTCAGATATGTTCTAAATTCTACATAAAAAAATATTTAATTCCTAAATTTTTTAATGCCTAAACATATATCTAGATTAGTCCACACTCTTAATGTCTATCAATATATATATATATATACACATACATGTTCACCAATGAATACAGATTAAAGGAGATGACATGATTTAAATATTACCTAAATAGCCTGTGATTTTAGATATCCATTCTTCTTCTTTCTCCTCTCTTTCTCAGTGATACTATCATATTCATCTCGGCTAGCATCACTAGATTTTGAGGACTATTTCTTTGTCTTTCTCTTGGATTTCTTCTCTTTCCTTCTATTATGGTTACCCAAGTTAGAGTGAGAACACTTCCCTTGCTTCCTGTGAGCTCTTCTACTAGACTTCTTATACCCATTGTCACTGTCATAATCCAAGTTAGAGTCAGATCATTTTTATGTTGTGCAGCTTTCAACTTCCTCTCTGTCTCAATTTTTTTATGGTCTTTCTCACTCAATCTTCCTCTTCTTTTCTTCTTCTTCTTCTTTTTTTCCTTCCTTCACCTGGTTTTCTGTGTCTGATGTGTTCTACTTCTTCTTCGCCTGTGTATTCTCTTTATTTTCTGCTTCCGTCTCTTTCTCGTTCATTCTTGCCTCCCATGCTCTACTTTTCCTTCAGTTTTTCTCCTTCCTCATGCTTTCTTTTGAACGTTGTCCATGCTCTATTTTTTCCTCATTTTTCTGTCTCCTCTTGGACTCCTTCTCATCTCCCACTCTCTATCTCTCTCTTTTCATTTTTTTCCTCCATCTCCTTCTCGGTTCTTTCCTCTGTTTCTCATCCAGTTTCAATCTTCTCTCTTTCTCCTCTCTGTCTCTATTTTGTTTGGTTTTTTTCTTGTGTTCTCTTTTCTTTCAGTCCCTCCTCTATTTTCTGTCTAGTTTTCTTTCTCGGTCTGTGCCTCTCGTTTCGATGCGCTGTTTTTGCTTCCTTCTCTTTTTTTCTCCTCTCAAACTTGCTCCACCTTTTATGCATGCTACATTTCTACTTTTTATTACTGAAGCTCGAGATCTTCCTCTTGCGTGAACATCTGGGTTCCCTCTGCTCTCACTGATCTGTTCTTACGTGTGTTTCCTTTCTCTTGTCCAGTCTTTTCTGCGTCTGATGTGTTTAGCTTCTCTTTCACTGGTGTTTTCTCTCTACCTGTTGAAAGTCTATGTGCGTGCATCATGGTTGCTTGCTACTTCTTTTGCTGTGTTTTTTTGCTCACGTGTAGGTGTTGTTTCTGCTTTTTGTGTCTCTGTTTTTGCTGTTTTCTTCTTTTTCTGCTGCATAGCCAAAAGTGCGTGTGTGTACATGTGTTTCATGTGTTCTGATGCTGCATGTATCTGTTTTTTTAAACCATTCTTTAATGCCTTTTTTATTAATTAGATTGAGGGAGAGAAAAAAAAGTCTAATTTTAAAACACATATTTTTAAATGAAAAACAAAAGATTTAAGGAGAGAAATTTAAAAATAATTGAGTTTCAAAAAATTGATTC